ATAGATAGATAGATAGATAGATAGATAGATAGATAGATAGATAGATATTAAGGCCACATATGATCATTTACTACTGAATTATTGTGTATAACAGGAGTGCAGAAACTTTGCACCTGTCAGTTCTGGCTGATTTTCAAAATTGTGTGCAAGTGTCAAAAAAATGACCTGCCAGGCTGTGCTAGTGATTAAGGTCCCACTCAGATTCTTCAGTGATTTAAAAAGGGTGTTTATCCTTGAAGGGTTATTTCTGTATGAATCTGTCCATCTCGTATCTAGCAAGTTAAAGGTTTACTGTCTGCATTAGGCATAAAATGATAGCCCCAATGTCAGTAGCACAGCAATGTCCATTTTGTGGCTAGTTTAAAATCACATAGGATGAAATACTGGTCCTGTTGAAGTCAGTGTGACTTTGACATTGATTTTTCCATCAAAATTATTTCTGTTGATTAGCTTTATCTACTGATGACCTATATTATAATAGTTGAGTGCTTTTTCTGGGGTCCAAGATGTTCCCTGAGGCACCAATGCTCTTTTCCTAGACTTAAGTGCCAAAGACACATGCCTGGGCTGGGATTCCTAAATTCTGTGTAGATCAGGGAGAGAGAGATGGGATCCACAGTCGTCTTGAGAGGGTAATTCAGAGTACCTAACATCAATCTCTTTCTTCAAAGTCTCTTCTGAAAAAGCTTATTTCTCTTTATGCTTGTTGAACATACAGCAAGCTTGGGAAGATCACAGACCTCAGTTAAATGTTGAGGTTGGACGACAGAAACAGCATGCTCAGCCAGGACATTTTGGCTGTGTATTGATGGATTTCACATGGCAGGCTAAGAGCCATCCTCAGTGACTGTGAAGAGATGAACAGGTATTTCATGGTCTTTGTTGCAGCCTGAAAACAGGATTAGCTAATTTTCTAGGCTAAAATTGAGAAAATTTTGCATCCAGAGAAAGAAAGACCTAGAAGAGCTAAATTACTGTCACTTTCTTCTTCTCAATCCCATTTCTTTACTTGGTAGTCTGAGGGATGCCATGACACTAAGCTCAGAAATATGCCAGTAATAAGACCTGATGATGGTGGCGAGGCCTCTTGTCGTACTGTATATTGAAGACATTCCAATGAAAGCATTTTGGTGTATGTATTTATATTAAAGAAAGATAGTCATACTGGTTACACAGAAACCAAATGTTCTCTTAGCCTGATACTGATCTAACACACAGTATGTAATGATAGTGCAACAGCTACTGCACATACTGAGGAATTCAGTGCCCAGAGGCATTTAAAATCAGTATTCATTTAAAAAATGTATTTCTGCAAATGCAACCTGTGTGCAGCAGGAGGCATAACTTGACAGATACTGACAGTGCTTGAAACACCTGGGAATGTTCTGCAGGACAATAGTTAAGAACCACTCATAAGGGCCTTAACACTGAGCAATCCTATTTGAGCTGCAGAAAGGGATAAAGGCATAAGTCTCAACTCTCTCCTACCTTCCTGTATAACGGACAAGAGTTCTGTATTTACAAGGGCAAATAAATGCAGAGATACTGGGTGAAAGCATGCTCAGGAAAAGTAAGGATATGTGGGCCCATTACTGACATCCACAAGACCATGGGCCCTGGCAGAATGCATCCACATGTGCTGAGAGAGCTGGTGGACACCATAGCAAGTCTGCTTACAGTCATCTTTGAAAGGTCATGGTGATCAGGAGTGGTGTCTGCGGACTGGAAGAAAGCAAATGTCACCTCAAAAAGGGAAAGAAGGAGGACTCAGGGAACTACCATCCAGTCAGCCTCACCTCAATCCCTGGAAAGGTGATGAAGCATCTCATTCTGGAAGCCATCCCTATCCACATGGATAACAAGAAGGTGATCAAGAAAAGTCAGTATGGATTCACTAAAGATAAATCATGCTAAATCAACCTGATTACCTTCTATGATGAAGCTACTACCTGGACACAGGAGGGGAGAGCAGTGGATATGGTCTACCTTGACTTCAGCAAGGCTTTCATGATTGTCTCTCACAAAATCCTCATAGGCGAACTCAGGAAGTGTGGACTGGATAAGTGGCCGGTGAGGTAGGTTGAGAACTGACTGAATGGCAGATCCCAGAGGGTCATAATCAGTGGCACAGGGTCTAGTTGGGGGCCTGTCACTAGTGGTGTCCACCAAGCTTCAGTTCTGGGCCCAGTATTGCTCAACTTATTCATTAATTACTTGGATGAAGGTGTAGATGCCTCCTCAACAAGTTCACTGATAACACAAAGCTGGGAGGAGTGGCTGATACCCCAAGCGCTGTGCAGCTCTTCAGGAGGACCTTAACAGGTTGAAGAGAACTGTCTGAAGTTCAACAAAGGCAAATGTAGGGTCCTGCATATGGGGAAGGATAACACCAGGCACCTGTACAGGCAGGGGGCTGACCTCCTGGAAAGCAGCTCTGTGGAGAAGTATCTGGGGGATTTGGTGGACAACAAGCTGTCCATAAGCCAGCAGTGTGACCTGGTGGCCAAGAAGGCCCATGGTATCTTGGGGTGCATTAGGAAGAGCACCTAATGCACCCCAGGGAGAGAGTCAAGGGAGGTGACTCTGCCGCTCTATTCAGCCCTAGTGAGGGCCCATATGGAGTGCCATGTCCAGTTCTGGACTCCTCTGTACAAGAGAGACATGGAGCTCCTAGAGCGGGTCCAGCAGAGGGCAACAAAAATGATTAAGGGACTGGAACATCTCTCTTATGAGGAAAGGTTGAGGGAGCTGGGCCCGTTCAGCCTTGAGAAGAGATAACTGAGAAGGGACCTCATTACTGAATAGAAGTATC